GTTTTGAATTTGGTAAATGTACCCAACCTCCTAAAAAAACCTGCGGCGTATTTATGCACAACGTAGTGGCTGAATGTCATTCATTTGATTTAAAACTTTAGTTCACTAACCCCCATATCAAATTTTGTAGGGAAGTCCCTACCAAGCAACGGTGTCCCCTCTCTCTATTACATTTATAATAAGGCATGAGTGTCACCGTTAAAATATTACGTTAACAATAATTTTACCTAATGGAACAATCATTGTCCGTATAACTTACAAAATTGAATATCTGTTTTCTAACAGATAATGACATGAAAAATATTTAGGTAAGTATATGCTTAGGATATGAACAGACTTGAGCGCAGAATCCAATTCAAACTCAATTCTTGTTGTCAATTACTACCTTACAAGAATAGGTGACGTATTTACTTTTTCAAAAGAAAACATTTAAATTCACCTTTTTTGGTGTCCGTTCACTTCATCTAAATCTAAATAATTACTTTACTTCTATGTTTACAGACATTACTTAAATGACCAATTTTCGAACAAAGTTATTGCATTGATAATGCCTATACCTGCATGTTTCTGACGAGTGATTCTTTTTACCACAGCGAGGGCAAGATGTCTTTCCGATTCTGCTTGTTCTGGATTCCCTCGCTGGCCCCTCTCCGATGTTGACGAATTCCCGTGACGTGGATCTCCGTTGGCAGTGGTTTGGTCTGCTCGACGCCGCGGAGGTCGATTAGGTCGGCCGGTTCCACTTAAGCTCGTTTGATCCAGATCCACTATCCGAAGCTCATCTGCGCTGACTCCGCGCCATTGCCGTTTTCAAATGCTTCCTGGAACGTTATCGTTTCCCTCTGCCAAGAACGCTTTGTCCCTAGCCCTTCCGGGTCCAAACGCAAAAAAATTTGTCTATCATTACCCTTTTTTTGAGTTGGATCCATTCGTTCTCGAAATGGGGGTTGAACTAATATTATGTTATTCAAAAATCTCTAAACTTCCCCATATAGTTTTATCGTTGAAGTTTTTAAAAATAACAGTGACTTAAGTTTCGGTCGTACTCCATCATTCAGGCGACTAGAAATGTATCACAATATAGCAAATTTGAAAACATTAAGAGCTAGTACTTACTGGTGAAAGTTAACAGAAAACGTAAATTACAAACGTTTGAAGACGAATAAACGACATGTTTGTTTTTTTTAATTATTAACTGGCCGAAGGCCAAGTGAAAAAAACTGAAAGGGTGGTTTAAAACGGAAAGGTGTCCTAAGTTTTCAAGAACGAATTATTATAAGCCTTTGTAAGAACAACCAACCGGAGGGTTGAATTTTTACATTTTAGGTTATTCAACTTTCAACCTTTAACGAAAAACAACTCCGATATGTTTCCTGCAATATGTGATCATGGATACATGCAAGGACTGGTGCATCAGTGGTGTCGATAGGTACGCCGAAATGGCAGAGTTGCGACATCAAACGAGAAAAGAAGTTCAAAAAATTCTTTAAGCCGATCGACCCAATTACCGCGATGTTCCAATTTTGTTGACACGTATGTGTTTTTTTATTAAATATTCACTTTGCGGCTAAACGTTTTAGATAGTTAATGTATGATACACAAAGTCGCACTAAAAATTACGAGAGGAAATCCAAATAAGCAATAATATACAGTGAGTTCCCACTTAAAATTGTAAGTTTGTATGAATCACCCTGTATATGGGTTTTGACGGAAGTTTCGCTGAGGCGAAGTTGTATGACTGCAGCAGATGGTGGCCAAACTTTTGACTTGTTTGAGGTTTTACTTGGTGTTATGCTTTCTACCAATCGTCCGAACGCTCGCTCGGTCTTCTCGCTCGCTCGATGGTTCTGTCCATCGATTTTAAAAGAGAACGGATGAGCGTTACGATGAATTTTTTAGGTGGATTCTTATTCGAATTGTAGATCGAGTTCGTGTATTGGCAATGTAGATCAAAAAATAAGGAAGACCCTTTGACATCTTCTAGATGAACCGAATTGCATGAACTTTTGTATGTGGATTGTGGATACCTCGAATAAAAGTAAACTAATGCCGAATCAAAAAATTTGTTTACGCATGCGCTATCTGATTTTTTAGAGTATTTTACTCAAAGTGAAAAATCGCTATGGCTGCACTTTTGCGTTCGTCTGTGCGTCACACGCATATTTTTTGTTTGCGCATGCGCAGTGTCAAAAATTTGAGTTAACGCATGTGCAATGCTAACTTTTTTATTATGGAAGCATTTAAGTGAAATTTTGTACATAGCATTTGGAATAGAGACAAATCTAACACCAGTTGCAAATTTTGCGCATGCGCAATGCCAACTTCCTTATTTACTAGAGCATTTAAATGAAATTTATAACATAGGCACTTGGATACAAGCAATCTAACATCAGTTTAATTTGGTTTTGCGCATCCGCAATGGTAACTTTTATTTATGAAAGCAGTTAAATGAAATATTCATATGTAGGCACCTTGAAACTAAAACTAATACCGGTTTTCAAATTTATGTTTACGCATGCTGTATGTTCTATTTATGAAGGTATTCAATGAAATTTCTAATGTAGACAATGCACAATGCTATTTACGAAAGTTATTTGAAAGAGGAATGGGGGGAGGATTTCGTGCCTACCGTATTTTTCTGGTCTAGCATTAAATTTATTAGGAGGAAAATTACGCTCTCGTCATTTATGTTGCATAATGATTTTTTTAAACTTTTATTGGTTAATTCAATGAAATTTTGTATGTAGGCACCTCGAATAAAAGTAAAAGAATGCCGAAGCAAAAAATTGTTTTGCGGATGCGCAATCCGTTTCTTTAATTTGTAAAGATATTTAAATGAAATTTTGAATATAGACACCTCAAGTAAAAGTAAAACTAATTCGAATCAAACATGTGTTTTTGCGCATGTGCACCGATTTTTTTAATGTTAAGATATTTAAATAAAATTTTGTATGTAGACGCCTCGAATGTGGCGCATATTAATAATAAGTCTTTTTTCATGA